AATACAAAGAAAGAGAAACATCAGCCTTGTGTCTTTCCCATTATTTCTTCTTCCAAACAGGTATAGAGGTCTGTCTGGGGGCAGGAGTGCACGTGATCTCCAAACATGTACTAGACTGCTTCAGACATACAAAACAAAATGTCCCATTACATCGAGGGCAAAAACTTGATGGGCAACCCTTCTTGCTGTGCTGCAACAGCAAACCACAGGTTGGACAGGCACGCACTGAGGGACACACACGGACTCCATACTCATCGTAATACCCATGTAATGTGATATCTGGGCATTTTTTTAGTGTTTCTAGTGACTCGTTACAGCAGTCATCATTTCCACAGCGGTCCTTCCGAGGCCGTGCACCCTTCCATTCCCTCAAACACTGCCAGCAGAATTCAAACGGCCGTCCTTTTACTGCTGTGCACACTTTACAGAGGACATTCAAATCTGATTCATTCGCTCTCGTCACAGTGGATCTGCAGCCAGGACACTACATGGAGACAGAGGTGGGACAATATTTGATAAATAGCAAAATGTCTATCAAATCTATATTCACAGTATATATAATATATTGATGAAACACTTACCAACTTAGTAGTAAGTGTCTGCCTGGCAATGTTAAATTCCATGGTTTTTCTGAAGTACTGCTTTTCTTGAGGGTCCAGAAGAGCCATTTTACAAACCTCTGCAAAAGTCCACTCAGCACCACAACCAGACCCACCACACACAAACCTGCTTTCACCCTTTATTAAATATGGAGAGGGGAGAGAATGATTAGACTCGCATGTTGGAAACAAAACACCAAACAATTTGTTTTTTTCAGTAGGTTATTAACCCTTTCATGCATGAATTATGACAACCTAAATCTGGATTTTTTTTTTCTTAAGTATTTTTATTCATCTTCAGGCATGAAAAAAAGATTTTTGACCTTCATTTTTTTTAAACATGTTCTTTTTCAAAAGAGTTTTTTACAATATACGTATTGACTAATGAATTGAGTATGAAGTGACACATCAGTGTCCAATGTAGTGGTATATGTGCAAGTATACCATCAACACTGACACAAATACAAAAAAACAGCCTTTGAATAACTGGCCACTATGCATGAAAGGGTTAAAACTACAAACACTGAAATATTTCATCATACATCACAACTGTATTGCTATATGTACAAATTATGTACAAATTTGATGAAACACGGAGTTATGATGCTATATTTTGTCTGAAAGTCATTTATGTTCTTTACTCTATAGAAACACTGAAATGATCACAGCTGTAACAGTACAGGTGTAATTCAAAGCTACACTGAGGCCTCACAGAGGGCAGATCAGTCAGCCAACATGTACAAGTACAAGTTACAATAGAAAAGACGGAAGCTGAACATTTCTGACTGTTTTATTTATTTCCTTGAGAGCACAGCAGGTTTCTGCTGAGAGAAGTTCATGAATTTACAGAGCAGTGTGTCGCTCTGTGTGTTGATTTAAGTCAGCGTAGCTTCTTTCTCATCTACATGACAGTAAACATTGCAATCCAATTCACAACCACAAAAAAACAATGACATATTGGGCACTGTTTTTATTATTCTTTATTTATTCACGTTGACATAACATAAAAATCCTGTTAAAAATCAACACAACCTTGCATGACGCTGTTATTTATTTATTTGTTTGCTTGTTTATTTCAATGAAACAACCTTTAGTGGCCTACCTGGTCCAACAACCTGCGACACCAGTTGGTGAGAGAGGTCGGGGTCACAGCGTGACCACAGGACATCTTAGCTCTGAGAGATTTGAAGCCTTCATACAAAACTGAGAACAATCACACACAAGCAAAAAAATCAGTGTCAAACATAAATGAATTCTAATGCGTTTTGTTTAACCTTAGTGTCAACGCAGGTAAAATATTTTAATATAATGTATATATATATATAATATGTATGTATATGTATGTCTGTTCGATGTCACTTTAAAAAGTGCCTAGCTAATAGGCCTACTTACAGTCCAAATCATCTTCTCCATCGACAAACGTAAGTGTCTTGTCGTGAGGGTCGTAACACTTCTCCTGTTTTGTAGGCACGCTTGAGGGCATGAAAAACAAAACAAAACAAAAAAACAGATTAAAAAGAACACTTTCGGTTTCACTTCAAAGAGAAATAATTTCGCTGGAGGCAGATAGTTGCACACAGTTTCTTCTTAACATCAAGTTTGTGATCAGCGCGAAGTTTAAAACAATAGAAAAAGTCAGTGAAATCAGAGCAGCAGATGAAACACACACACACACACAACAGTGAGTAAACCACGCAGTGTTACCCGTGTCGCGGCGGCAGGAATGCTGGGGCCACCGTCGCTGTGTCCACGAGGAACTCCGTGTAAGGGTGATAGTCATCTAGCACGTCGGTGGACGAAGCAAACCTTCGTCTCAGTAAAATATCTCGGTAACGTGAGAACATCTGGCTTGGCTTTTACTGTCACGGCGGACTGTCTCTGTTCACAGAATAATATCCAGCGATGGACTGAGAGTCGCTTTGGTCCGCTGTGAATGTAAGCGGCGATACTCCTCCCTCTCTCTCTCTATTCGGGCGTGTGTTTCAGGGTAATGCCTCTGAAGGTGTGAAGAAACTCCAGTTTAGGCTGATTGCCTGATTTTACAACAACGATATTTGGTTCACACAGGGCTGGACTGGGACAAAAAAAAATAAAAATCAGACTTTGGTCCAGAAGGCCCATCATGATCGCTCAGCAAAAAATTAAAAAATAAAATGAATAAATAAATTAATTAATTAATTGATGAAGTTTAAAAAATTATTACATTTAAGACAAGGTAAAAAATGACATTGGTTGTTGTTGAATGAATTCTTAGTTGCACTGCAGTGCCGCATAATGATTAAGTACGTTTCAGCTTTTAGTGAACCTTGAATGTGTCACTTATCACGTCTCCCCACCCCTTTATTTTCAACCTCTTTCGTCTCTTCCACTCTTTTGTTGCTGATGCTGCTGAAGACGGTCAAGAAACATCCCCATGTCAGTTCATTTGACACATCTGGTACATCTATTTTTAATTCATTTTTATTTTATTTCAGCATTTCAGCTCCATCTTTTCGCCAATTTTTTCCACACTAAACTCTCTTATACGATATCCACGGGGAAGGTAGGTGAGGTTGTGTAAAGAGATCTGATTGGACAATACAGTGTCGATAACAAAAATGAACTGATGGGCTGCTCACCCTTGGTGGGCCCTTTAACTGACCCATCGGCCCACAGAGCAAATTCTCCGTGCCAGATTACCACTGGAGCCCTGGGTCCACATACAACATACACTCTCTTTACAGCACGAGTCTATCAACCATTGATATCCTTGCATCTGTCCACTGCAGCTGTTTCATTTTGCACATATCTTCTAGTTTGTTTTACTTGACCAGCTGACCAGCTGATGCAGCTTTCTTCATGGTCTCTTCAGCATCCTCATACTGATCACTACACTATGTTTATGCGAGAAATTATTTCTTTCTAACTAAAACCAATTCTGAAGTACAGCTTCATCAACTCAACTCCACAGGCATTTTTTAGGGGGTGAAGCAGCCATGACAATGTTAACCAATAAGAACACAGACACATTTCTACTTTCAGGAAAATTATGACAGATGTAAATCAAACAAAAGGGACTGGCAGAGCCTGGGTAAGTGGCTGGAAAATTCCACTGGGCCCCTGAGTCACCTGGCATCCACCCCTGGCAGGGCTACCACCCCTGACCTGCTCTCCACTCGAGCTGGTGTCAAGAACTCACCTAATGTGCAATTTACTTGTCAGATGTGCATGCTGGAAACAAATGTATATGCTGCTTCCCATTGGACGGACTTTCAGAATTTGAGATAGTAAGGCCTGGGATGTCCCCTCACCGCCAGTTTGTCAACTATCCAACGCTGTTAGCAGGCTCTTATATATATATATATATATACATATATGTGTGTGTGTGTGTGTGTGTGTGTGTGTGCATATATAAATGTTATGTGTCACCACTCCTGTGATTCTCATGCGTACTGCCTTCTCGTTCCCGCACTCCTGATGGAAAATCCACAGAGGCAGCCATTAACACACCTAAATAGCTACAGACTCACACTCACAGACTGAAACACTGACGGGTAGTCATCTTGAGAAAGAGTGAAACTCCTTTCTGCCCCTTTGCTCTTGGAATATCTACTCAGCAGTATGCCCACAGACTCTGCACGATGGCTGCTATCTGTGGCACCATAATCAGGTGCTGAAGGCAGTGATTTAAAGTTTAGCTTCATATCAGAATCTCAGACCTGCTCTTTTGACATGTGTATTATATATCATATATCATAACTTGGATTTTGGGAAACATAAGTTCTTCTATAAAATGTTTACCTCAGTGCAATTCATGCAGTGATCTACATGTGAATACGTTAACAATGATTTTAAATAATTTAAGCAGAGTAAAAAATATAGTCATTCTGGGATCACACTAACACCAGAAATTCACGTTAACAGCTCAACTTTAATCAGATTAAGAGTTAATGTAGTTAAATGTAGTCTATTATCAAATGAAAAACAAATAATGAAAACTGGTTTTCCTGCATTTCCCAACTCAGCAGCACAAAGTAATGAAGCTTTCTCCTACCAATACTGCAATTTAACAACAATAAAAATATCTGCCTTTTAAATCAGTTACTGTATTTATTTACTGTCACATCAATTTTTCATTTATAACATTTTTTAATATAATAATGAATGAAGGATCATATTTTACATGACAGTGTTCACTTACAGGATATAAGAAATAAATAAAAATCCACAATATTTTATTGTACAGGATTTTGCTGGCTTTTCTTCCCCCACAGATACATTTTTATTTACATTTAAACATTGACGTTGATTAAATATAACTACAATTTACTAAAACAAACATTTACTCTAAACAATTTATCATCATGTAGCTAGGAATACAAACAAAATGTGTGATAAGGAGACAACATGTGTTATATATACACGCAGAAAGTTTAACCTTATTCTAAATTTTTTTAAATGGATGACATTAGATTTATGCAGATTTATCACTGGACTTCAGACATGACACAGCTGTATAGATCACATCTGTTAGTAAATTTCTCACTAATAAAACAATAATTTTTATTTATAATGTGATGTTATTAAAACAGAGAGTTTAAAACACCGCATGCTGACATTTACATTTAGAAAAGGCACTCTCAATACAAAGTAGGTGAAACTTAACGGCCTTGTTTCTTTCCAATCATTTCTTCTTCCAAACAGGTATAGAGGTCTGTCTGGGGGCAGCAATGCAACTGGTTAACAAACATGTACATGGGCATTCCTAATTGCTGCAAACCACAGGTGGGACAGACACGGACAGAGAGGCAACCACATGGACTCCATACCCATACCATGTGATATCTGCACAAGCATTTTTTTTTTGTGTTTCTAGTGATGGGTTTGAGCAGTCATCATTTTCACAGCGGTCCTTCCGAGGCCGTGCACCTTTCCACTCCCTCAAACACTGCCAGCAGAATTCAAACGGCCGTCCTTTACTGCTGTGCACACTTTACAGAGGACATTCAAACCTGACCCATTCTCTCTCGTCACAGTGGATCCACATCCAGGACACTACACAGAGACAGAGGTGCAATATTTGATATATACATTACAGGTTTATATTGCAGAGACAATTTAACTTAAAAGATTTATGTGCTACGAGTTACAATAGAGAAGACAGAAGCTCGTGAATTTACAGCAGTTACACAGTGATTAGTAATAAACAAGCGCCTTTGTGATTTAGTAGAGCTTGTGAGAGTGAGTGGATTTAAGAACGTGAGTGACTTAGGTGTGTCAGTTGGTTTGTCATGTGTTATCGAGTCTGGAGGAGAGTTTGAAATCTTTTGTTTTAAATCTAAGTTAGGATGATTCATGATTTAATTTCCAAAATGTGCATATGATCTTCAATTTGTAGCAGGTTCACGGACTATCACATAACAGCTGGAGCATTCTCAAATGGAGGTCAGCCCACTACTGCCACCTATGGCCAAGTGCCATAGCCTACTACTAGATTAACTTGTGACACATTTGCACCTGCTTCTATGACCACATTGAGTAGAGGCTGAGTGGCTGCACTTACA